GAACACTATTTTGGTACCATTTTACTAATGGCTGGGATTGCTTCAGATCAAAATGGGAGCTTCTGTTGCCATCATATTTCTCATGAATGCCCCTGAACAAGTTAATTGCCCTAGCTTTGCCAATTCACTGCAGACTTCTTATTTTTGTACCCAGAACAGTTTTCTGAGTTTTCAAATGTGCATATGGGCATGGGGAGACAACCTTTGTATTAAGAGTCTCAAAAGATCAGTGTGTAGTTTAGATACTCAAGTTTCCTTCTTATGCTTTACTCCAATATAAAATGGAGTTAAATCCAGATTTTATTAATAACAATAATAAAAATTTATCAATATTGCAAGTGGCATTTCAGGGATAAGTATTTCAGGTCAGTAAGGACAAGCTGTGATTGCTTTTGAAGACAAATCTTTGGTTAGTTTTCAGAATAGGACTTCTCTAAATGGCTTAGATTGAGGTTTTAGCCTCTCTAGGGGTAGGCACAGCATTGTGTGAGGAGAACAGAACCCTTCCTTGTAGCACTTTCTGCCCACAATGTATGGATCTGTTATTGTTCTTTCTTTATAGTCTTCCCTCACAGTGGCTGTGTTTCCCTTCATTCTTCAGCTCTCCCCGCAACCTGTGGTGGACGTTTTATAGTTCTGTGCCTTTATGGTAGCCTTCCCTAATTTGGTATCTTACAGATGCTTTGGGTTGGCAATTCTCATCATTCCTGACTCTTGGCTAGCCGGGCTTGGTTTGGGGAGAGTCTAAAATATCTGGGGGGCATCAGGTTGGGGAAGACTGCTTTACTGTCTCATACCATACGTGGTGCAACAGTAAGAAAATAAGGACCAAATGGACCCAGGGCAGTTGTAAGACAGGCTCCCTGGAACTGTGCTTTGCCCATTGGAAGCCAGCCTCAGGGCAACCTGCCTACACCCTGCTTCAGTGCAGATTGCCCACTCTCTTCCATTGCTGGCTTTAGTCATGGCTTATCATTACATCTGCAATGATGCTGTGCAGCATTCTCATCTTACCTAGAGTTTGAGCCCAAGACTTGAAGTGGGTTTGCTAGCCCTGATTAACATGGGCACAAAGGTAGCAAAATCAGTGTTTCTCATCCAGTTACCCTCCATGTGTGTTGGATTACAACTCCCATTTTCACCAGCCACCCTGGCAGGTTGGGATAGGCTGTGTTAAACCCTGGACCAAGTGGTCAGAGGAAATGGCCACTGGGATTTGGGATGGAGAGGAGAGAGAGAGAACCCCTACTTTCACAACTGTGGCTGGCTCACCAGTTACAAATAATAAAACATATCAGGGAATGATACTTATGTCTGCATGAGATCAAGTTATGACTATAGGGAATAAAATGTAAAATGTTGGCTGCTAATTTTGACCTTTTGGGTGTCCTGCAGTTAGCATTTCATTTTTATTTATTTCTCCCTTTTTTGGATACCTGCAGGGCTGCCAATGTGGGAGGATTAGGAGAGTAAAAAATGGCCCTCAGTCTTCCCAAAGTTGCCTAGCCCTACATTAGCAGGATCTCTGTGATCCTGCCATTCTTCTCAAACCTTTTAGGATAAAAAGCAAAAACATACAAACTCTGTTGTCTGTGTAAGATAACTCCATCAGATAGGCTATAGGTTAAAATCAGAGTAGATAATGAGCAATGGAGCAGAAGAGAATCAGGATAATAAATTGGCTGGGTCTTTTAGCCTGAGAACCAACAGCTCCAAGTACCAAGTCTGTTGAAAGTATAACACTTGCCCTTTTGATGGTTGCAGGAGTTTAAAAAAAAATCCTGATTGGAATATTGCTCTTCCTGGTAGTCTTTTGCGGCCAGATGATCTGTAAACTGCCTTTATTAGCCTCCTATGTCTCTCTCATCAAATCTGGTATGGAAAAAAAATCTGGGTACTTGACAATGTGATCCTGATGTTTAAAAGTCTGAAACAAATATTTTAAAGGTCTGTGCAGGAGCCTGTGCTGGAATTTTGAAAAATGTTTCCTCTGATCTGTTTCTTGCTGCACACACATGTATCATGGGAGATTTGTGATTGCTTTCAGGAGGAACTTGGGAGGGAGTAGAAGGCAGAAGGGATGTGATGGGGTATTTCATTTGGCAGAAGCAACATAAAAATGGGATTTTCTCAAATCTCTTAATTGCCCTGTTTTTTCTTTTCGCCAGAGCTTTAAAAAAATCTGCAACAACTGAGCATCCTGTGGATGAAGTTAAACATTTTTCTAAAATCTCATTGGTTTCAGCAGGGAAGCATAGGCTTACAATCTTTCTCATTATAGGATCAGTGGGACTGAATGTGCTTTAAATTTAGTGGAATTGTGCCCATTTTGCTTGTCAGCTCAGTGTCCCACTGACATGCTCCTGTCATACTGTCTTCATAGCCCAAGTAGTGGGTGCTGACCTCTTTCCTTTGCATGTACAGCTTCACCTGACAAAACTAGTTGCATGGTCCCTCCTTAGCTTCCCCTCAGCTTGCCCAGAGATGAGGAATCCTCATGCAGGCTCTGGCTGAATGCTTTGCAGAGGGCTGAGAAGCATATATCAGAAGGACAGTGCCTAGGCTACCATTTCAGGCATCTTGGAGATGGGTGAGGATGCTCTTCAGATAGCACAAGAATGCTGTGAGTCTGCTCATATATCTGTTTGAGCAGATGCCAAGGGGACTTTCTATGAAAGAAACAAAACACCAGAGAATTCCCAATATTAGCCATGAACAGGTAGAGTTGGAGGACCATTAAAATCAGTGAGACCATGTGTTTAAGGATGCTCCACAGTTTTCCACAGGACTTCAATGTATTTGCTTGAGAGAAGCTAGGGAAGGAGGATTCCATAACAGAAGAGTGCATACAAACACATAAAGAGAATTCTGAGCATATTTGCACTGCCATTGGACTTCCTTTGATGTATGCATGTGGCTGTGGCATAGCAGTGACTACAACCCTGGTATACGACGTATTACGTTGCTTCTTCCCACTGGTGGCTGCTCTTCCCTCTTCTCCTGTTGAGGAACTGAGTGTCTCCCAACTGATTGCCTGAGGTGGGAGGCCTTTGTATCCATTCTCTGTTTTGCTGGGCACTTGCCTGATGCTGGAAAGAAGGGGACTGCCCCACAGTGAGCATTTGAGATGGATGAGACTCAACCTGTCTTTAGGGCATGTTGTTCTCCAAGAAGAGCATGAGGAGGATAGGGTGGCATTAATATTGCAGCCATATGTGGGAGGGAAGCAAGATACTATACCAGCCTCACTAATATGTTATTGCATCACATCCATATAAAAAGAGGCTCATGTTACTGCAAAAATGCACTTTTAGCTCTCCCTTTATATTTCATCTACATGTACCATAAGAAGTTTTGCTGTCCTTTGAGAATTTAGGGACAAGCATCTTTTCTGCAAGATTTGTGGCTAAAGCAGCCGGATGCTCTCAGTTCCTTAAACAATTAGCTAGCTGTATTTCCACACCACCCCACCAGTCAGTCTTCTAGTGGGATTTAATTCTCCCAAAGGAACAATCTGTGCTTTGCAGGGTTCTTAGAAAATCACAGTTGGCTAATTCTCCAGGCTACTCATAGCTTGCTGATGTTGCAGCTTTCATCTGGCCATTGGCTGGCTTCTGATTGTCTGGATTGCAATTTTCTTAGCTGGGGTTGATTTGGGCAGTTGACCTTTGTCATATCAGAAGTGCTGAGAAACCTCTGGTAGGGCAAAAGCTTATTTTGCCTTTAAAGCAGATTGCAGCTGGATGTTTTCTGGATGTTTTGCACTTCAACTCTCATCAGCCCCAGGCTAGCATGGCCAATGGTCAGGAACATTATGAGTTGTAGTCTCCAAAACTCTGGAAGACACCAGGTGCGTAGTTTGTCCTAGAGGGTTGGCACTTGAGAGGTTTTATTCCATCAGTTGCAAGGACTTTCCTCTGAACTTCTCCCAGTGCAGCATGTTCATGTTTGAAGGCCTACACCCTGGGCTAGCCTGTGATTGCCAAAGAAAGAAAGACCACACACTGCAAGGTAAAGAAAACATTGCAGGGGTACTGGCACAGTTTCCTCCAAAGTTATGTTTCCCTTTGGTGGAAATGAACTAGAAAGTAGATTCAATTAAAACCACCCAGTGGTATCTGTGGCTTCAGCCTGGTATCTGAGGCTCTTCTCAGCCTCAAGCATATCTGTGAGCAGAGGAAGTGGAGATAGAGAGATTAAAACATGCCCTGTAGTTTCCCTACCTCCTCTGGTGTCTGCTTTTTTCCTCTAGAGCCATAGATAGATATGGTTCAGCTTACAAGCAGATAGCTTATTTCACAAACTCAAGAGAAGGGACTGTGTTCTTCTGTTTGGTCTCATCCTCCTACTCCTGCTTTCTATAGTTACAATCAGTTATCTTTTTTAGAAACCTTGAGTCTTCTGCATTTGATGCAGTGGGGCACTGTTGAATTTGCAGCAAAAACACATTTGCCTGTTAATTATTTAACATCCCCCACGCTGCAACTGCACAGCAGTCTCAAAATGGGCAGTGTTCAGGAAGCCTTAGGAACGTGGCTCTCTCTGCCTAGAGCACCAAGTGAGGAGGAGTCTTAAAGACAGTAGGATATAGCTCTTTGCCATGACTAACACACTGGCCACTTTCCCTGCAACTCCCCCAGTCCCCTTTTTCTGTGTATGCAAGCAAGGCAGCTTAACCTGCTATCTTCCTGCTGTCATTTTAACCCAGTAACTACCAAAGCATAATGTCATGATCACTTCTCAAGAAACCCCCTTTGCTGTGGCTTTCCTAGAGGCCCCACCAAAAGTGCTGGCATATTTCCTTTTTCTTTTTAAAAAAGGGGGTCAAACGTGGCAGAAGGTGGGTTTTCTTGTGCAGCGAATATGTTTAAACTTTTGGTGTGTAGTGCATGTGACAATCTTCTAATACAATTTTTGTCTTTTCTTCCCTTCTTCTCTCCCCTCCCCTTCCTTCTTAACTTCCCCCTTCTTCTTTTTTCCATCTCTGGTGGAAACGCAAGGAGCTGGTAAGATGCCTCATCTACTGACTGCTTTGGTATTGGTGCTGGGAATATTAGTTGCTAATATCCTGTCTTTGCCATATCTTGCCACCTTGGAGGGTGATGGGAAAAGAAAGAATTCTGTATGTGATTGTGTAAACCTCTGTCCCAAAGCATTTTCTGTTGGAGGCAGAACATCCAAAGAGCTCTCCTTGCTCTATCCTAGTTAAAAAATAAAAACAAAAAATCTATCAATAAATTAGATAACTTTTTGAAAGTATTCAGGTTCTGCCAGTGTACTTTTCCCAAATGGTAGGGACAGCTCTGGTTGAACTTTGATTATAGCATACAGTTCCTTCCTAGTAGCTACAGGTAGCATGTAGCATGCCATTTTGAGTTAAGAGTTGGCAAATGACTGGGATGCAATGCTGTGTAGGTGTGGTATTTCACAGCAAAATTCTTTTTCAGCAAATCCCCTCAGAACAGAAGTAGATTGCAATGTTGGATTAGACCAGTAGCTTATCTTGCTGGTCATTTGTTTCCCAGGATGGCCCACAGACAGGTCATATGGTCTTTGCTGCTGACACCTAGCAATTGTTTTTGGGTTACATCTGGACGTGGACGTTCCATTTAACTACCTCTGTTAATAGTGCACATCTGTCTACATTTTTAACATCAGAGATCAGGTGACCAGAACTTTATACTTAGTCCATATATGGCCTCATGAGGAAAAATCATGGGATTGAAAAAGACTGCATGGTCCTAAAATTCATTCCTCTTTGCCAGAGTGGGATCCTTTCACATATCAGCCCTCACATAGGTTATAAGTTATCTAACACAGATCAAAGTATGCCAGGAAGGGAGTATCTTGGCCTTGCATTGGGATAAAGAGTTTCAGATCACTTGAACTGCGCTACAGAGCTACCTTTCCCAGCCAAGCACCCTTCAGATGTTTCGAATGACAATTTCCATAATTCGTGACTGAGCATTCAGAAACATGCAGTATACGGGTACTATGCGAACTATCTTGTTTAATAGAGTATGGATAACTAGAAGGGAGATCTCCAGATTTTGGAACATCAACTTCCAGAAGACTCTGCCAGCATGACCAGTGTTAAGGAATGCTAGGAGTTGAAGTCTGAAACATCTGGAGATTTACCTTCTGCCTACCCCTTTGTAACTAGAACCCTGATATCCACTAAGTGGGACCTGATGTGAAGATTTACACTTAGAAGTAAAGAATGCTGAACTTAGAATTCTGAGTATCAAAACAGAGTGAGTCTGTAGTCTTTCTGAGGCAAAAAAAAAAAAAAAACATTCCTGGCTACCCTGTCCTGAGTTTTGTGGGTGCAGGGAGACATTCAGTTGCTGCTACGGTTGAGCAACCAGGAGTCAGAAATTTATTTTTTTATTTTCCCATTTATATCCTGCCTTTTTCCTACAAAGGGCTCAAGGCAGCTTACAACTCCTCCATCTTATCCCCACAGCAACAACCCTGTGAGGTAGGTTGGGCTGAGAGTCTGTGACTGGCCCAAAGTCACCCAGTTGGCTCCATGGCCGAGCGGGGACTAGAACCCAGATCGTCTGAGTCCCAGTCCCATGCTCTTCACCACTACACCACACTGGCTCTTATTATTGTTATAATTATTGCCAATATACTGCAGATCACCCAAAGATGGATCAGTAGACCCAAACCTACCTCTGCCCATCCTGTTAGAGGGAAGTCAGGTACATAAATAATCAAGGCTGTAAGCCACTCTGATTTGGGAAGAAATTCCATTCCGGTCTCTCAGTATGGAGATGAATCATACTGATAAGTGTATGAAGAAAGCCTATCTGTCACAATCAACCGAAATGTAATGTTTGAGGACATAAGTATATATATGTTTATATAGAGCCACCCCATAATTCTGTTCTTTGAGCAGCTGACAGATACAAAAGAATGCAACATAATTAAAATGCAGCATAATAAAACATGATAAAATAACAATATTAAACTTTTCCAGTAGAGATGGGATAAAAATCAAAGCAGAGAAGCAGTTGTGTAAAACATTAAATTCACAGATTTTTGAAAGCTAAAAAGAAACAAAAGTTACACACGGTGTTGGGAAAACCATAATGAAGGCTGCAAGCAAGTCTATCTAGCCAAGGCATCTAGCTTCCAGGACACTACCACCAAAAAGTCCCTCTTTCTACCTGCTCCATTTTATATGGGAAGAGGTGTCCAGAGCAAGACCTCAGAAGAGGATCTAAAGGACTATGGGAAGTATATTCAGTCCAGCTTGCTGTGTCTTGTTATGGCATTCTCTCAGATTGGCACACTTCCGTATTTCCCAGAGTGAAACTCTGTCTTTCACAGAATAACCCAAGGAATGGAATTATATTTAGTTGTGCAAAATGACCCTTTCCCTGTCATAGGTGATCAGGTTCAGTTTAAAAATGGTGCTAACATTAAGTGCTTCCCAGTTTTGGAGCACTCCAGCTTAACCAAGCCATTGCTTACAAAATACAGGAGAGATTTGTAATATTTGCATGATCTTTTCCCCTTTACAAACCACAGTATGGGAAAGCAGGAATAAAATTTGATAGACTCCTCAGTGATTCATAGAACTGATAGATATTTAGAAGTTAAGTCACTGTAGGAAATGGATTTAGCCAGTCAAGCAGCAGATGGCTATCCTTCCCCCAGAGGAAGAGTATGAACAATGTTCAAGGGCATTAACCGCAAATACCTACAACACAAAGCTTGCCACCCTTTCCTTATGATTCCATTTGGCAGGCAGTTCCTTGATTTTGATAGTGCTTACCTTGTCAAATCGAGGTAAATTTCAGCATATACCCAGCACCTCTGATAAATGAATTCTGCAAAGGCTGCTTCCAGTTTGCTGACCTGGCAGACAAAGCTTCATTCTATACAGTAAAAACTATACATTAAGAAGCCGCAGCCATAATGGAAATACAATTTTGAAACCTTAAAAAACTGCTTATCACAGAAGATTCCAATTCTTTAGTAAGCTGGTTGGTGCAGTGGGAAGGAATGGTGTGTTATTTCTGTTAGCATTAAACTGGAAGATTTCTGTTTGGCTTCAAATCATTTGGATCTACCTGGTGAACTGAATCTATGTTCAGTCCACCCCAGCAATAGTGCATGGGTGTGTGTTTTGGAGTTTTATTCCTTAAAGCAAAGGTGTTGAACCTCAGCCTGTGGTTCAGATCTGGTCCATTTGTGGTCTCAGTTCAGCCTCTGGAATTCTCCACATGACTCTCTCTCCCCTTTCCTTTGGCCTCATCCCATTCCCCCCTACTGCTGAAATGCCTCTCCTGAGGCCTAGGTTGTGGCAGGAAGAGCTTTAAGCTAAGATATGCTATTTTTGGTATTTGGGATCCTGTCCCTTTTGTTTTTGGCATCAGCCACCATAGGAATACAGTCCCCCTTCCCACCTCATATCTCAAGCTTCTCTGAAATTGAATTCAGCCTTTGGACTAAAACAGGTTCAACACTTGAAGCACCCTTGTCTTTACGCACTGCCCTGATAGCCACAGGTGACATGGAATTCAGTGCAGGTGAGTGAAAGCACAGGAACTATGCAGGGAGGGAAACCCCTTTATGCTCAGCATACAAATGTAGCAGGCTGCTCTAAGAGAGATGGATCTCTGTGGCAAGCCAGGAAATATTTTTGCTTGCTGGTCATTTTTGTGGGTTTATTTACAAGGCTGTTCTTCCCTTATCTACCTTCTTGGGACTCTAGCTCAGATAATAAACCACCCGGGAATTTGTTCTGTGAAGGGGAACACTGAAAAAGCATTTTCAATGGTATGGTATGTGCCCATGTTGGTCCTTTAGTACATCAAGAGGTTTGTTTTGTTAACCAGGGAATGGCGGGGAGACCTACCATCAGACATGTGGGCTTTGTTGTGTAGCACAAGGCCTGGATTGGAGAGAAACTTCTATAGCAAAATGTCATGAAGTGGGCAGGAGCACCTCTGCCCCTTCCAGGCCCTGGGATAAGGGTTGGGGGGGGGGTCCCCTGCTCATATTAGGAATGTATGTTCTAGATCCTTGTTGCTGATCATTTTAGTCTTGTCTGAATTATATATTAAATTATACATCAGAAGAGAGAATTTTACAGCTGTAGCCCTTAGTAGGCTTACCAGGAAGTTGCATCCATTGTGCTTGGTAAGATTTTCATCAGAGTTGGCAGATATGTTAAGGACTGGGCTATTAAACTATTACATATGCATCAACACAGGGAACTTGGAATATGACCTTCTATGTAGAATATAGTGGCTGTCATGGAAACAGAGCCTGTACTTTAATTAAAAAGTGCACTGTGTAGGAGGCCATTGCTGACCTTCAAGGTTTCAGAGAGAAGCCTAATATGGATAGGCAACTTCTGCTAACGTTTAGACTGGAACTTCCCATCCTTTTACTGTGACCCTTAGCTATGTTCCCCCAATACTGTCTGCTGCCTAGCCATGCAGCCTACTCCATGGCAGTGAAGCCAGCAAGAAGAACTTTGTTCTCCAACAGCATCGTGCCCTCTCAGTGCTGTCCAGTGGAGCTGTTTGGAGTGGTTCATAGCCTTTCACATATGGGCCCTAAAGAGGATCATGGAGAACCCTCAGTGACCCACTGTGATGAGTTTGCACAGAACTTCAAGGATAAAGTAGCTCAGATTTGGCATGAATTGGACTCCACTTTTGATGTAGTCCCTATAATGAAGCTGTCCAGAGCCCCCATCTCGTCCTATTTTATTGAAATAAGTTTTAATTATTGAAGCCTGATGATATGACAAGGTACTTGGACAAGTCTACCTGTATTATTGCCCCTTGTGACTGATCACCCTGAGGAGGGAATGCATTCCTGGGTTCAGGCTATTGTGAATGTCTCTCTGAAGGAGGGGCTGGTGCTGGCTCCATTAAAAGAGGTAGTGATCAGGCCCCTCTTGGATAAGGCAAACCTGGACCCAGGAGAATTTACCAGCCTGTGATCAACATTCCCTTCTTGGGCAAGGTGCTCAAGCGGA